ATAAGTACTGCAACTCAGTGTTTACTAAGTACTCGTATCTCTGGTACTGTCTCTGAAGATGGGTTCGAGCTGGAATTAGAAGTGTCATGCAAATAAATATCGTCTTCCAGCAATCGCGCCTACTTCTTCTCAGCTGTCCCATTATCCGTTATTACTCGAATTTTTACGCCTCATCGGGCATGCGGCTTGCTGTGTACACACAACTGCACACCTATCACCAGGACGCATATGTGTCACGCAATCGTATTCTCGCTGGTCTAATTGTCTCTTCCCCCTGCTGTCTACTGTTAAACGGCGATTCATACCTGGCATAGTCTTCACTTGGCAGACCGGCGTGACCTCCGATGTGCCTTTATCAGTGCGACCACTTCACCAGCATTTTCACTGCTGGGCCAGAGTCGTATTGCCCACTACACTGGGTGGCAGAGGATCAGTAAACTGATAACCCCCTCTTCCCATCCCCCCATCCAATCGGCAAATTTATGCAGATAGAATTGCCGACAAAGACAAGGGAGACTGGAATGGCCATTTTTGGCTGATTAGCCGTTAGTAGCTAGTCATACCCAATCCAAGTGGTGCCCCACCCGAGGCTCGAACCCGCGACCTTTTGATCATAAGTCTAACGCTCTAACCATTGAGCCACAAACTATCTGCCTAGACTACTAGCCGCTGTGCGGCTGCTTACGGGGCTCGAGAATGAGCCCCAAGGCAAAGCGGGATGAGTGAGTTCCTTTAGAGATCGGTTAACATTAATCAACAAGAGCGAATTTATCTATTTTGCTGCGTTTTTGCCTGAAAATCTAGCCTTTTTGGTCAGTTAAACGTGCTTATAACCAGCACTCTGTTGTAACGGTGACAAGCTGAGATGTCACCGCCTGATTACGCCCGGTGGAAGCCACTCGAACGAGGGTTTTATTGTGTACTGAACCCGGAGTTGCTGTCTCGGGTGGCGAAGCTCGGGCTGATGTGGACTGCATTCATTCACGCCTGAGGGTATCTGTAAATCTCAGCAAGCCCTTGTGAAATGTAAGTTGCTTTTAAGTGATTGTGGAACGAGTTCAAGTGTTGCATGATTGGTGCGTTGGATTACTCGAGTGGTGTCAAGTATTGAGGTCACCTACTGCGTGGCCGCAGGGTGGCGCGCTCACGTGTGCTCGCGTTCGTGTGTGCGAGTGAATATCTGTCCAGTGGTTTAAGGTCATCGAATGGGGACAGTCAGCAATGCAGACACATGACCTTGAGGCCGCTCGCATTGAACAAGAAATAATTCTGGGCGGTCGGCCACACGAGCGATTCGTCAGGACAGCCTGGAAGGTTATGCTGGCAGTCGGTTAGGCTGACTCTTAGCACACTCAACCGAGCTCGAATTTATGGTGCGGTAGCTAGGAATCATTAATACTATTTCTTCTCTTTTTACGGCAAGGGTTTTTATGGGCCACGCTTCCGTTACGAAAGCTTCCCCGCGTCACCATGAACAGAAAGAGAGAGAGAGAGAGAGAGAGAGAGAGAGAGAGAGAGAGAAAGAAAAAAAGAAAAGAAGAAAAAACGAGAGTGAAGGCCTTTCTAATGATAGGTTGGAGTTGGAACTCGAAACTTCAGGTGAATAAAGTTCTGGTCCCAACAATCGCGTCTACATATTGTCAATTAAGGTATTTTTTGCGACGATGGCGACAGTTAAGTAATCGGTTCCGATCATGTCGCTCGACTTCGATCTCTTTGGTGACTATGTTTGCCCAGAATAACCTGGCCAATTTAACAAAACATTGCTTTGATGACGCTTTTCATAATCTGCACAAAACTCATTTTCTGGTGCACATCGAGGTTATCGCTCCTACTTGTTGAATTTTCATGCCTCACGGCTGACTGTGCACACTAAAGTGCGGACATATCATCATGACACATATGCACCACGCAGTCGTATTCCCGTTGGTCCAATTGTCTCATCCTTTCACTGTCGTCTACTGCCTTACTGTGACAGTGATTGGTACCTGGAATGGTTTTCAATTGGCTGTCGGCTTGACCGCCAGTATGCTTTCGTCTGTGAAGCCGCTCCACCGGTGTTTGGATTACTGCACCAGAGTCGTATTGCCCGCTACACTGGGTGGCAGTAAATCATTAAAATGATAACCCCCTCCCCC